GCGGCGCCGCCCGCGCGCGGCCCCCGCCGCCGGCTGCCGCCCCGCAGCGCCTTCCACGTCCGCGGCGCGGGCGCCTTTCATGTCGGGGCGCAGCGGCCCTCCCTGCCAGCTCACGTGCGCCAGGGCCCCGAGCAGCCCCGCAAAAGCCGCCGGCTGGGATGGGCCTTCCCAGCCCCGCGCCCATGCAGCGCTCCCGGGCCGTGTCATAAAGGCGGAAGGAGGAGGTGAGGGGGGYACGGCGGGGTGCACGGCGGGAAGCAGCACCCCAGGGTGCTGCAGCAAGGAGGAAYGGCATTGGGACGAGTGGAGCTGCTCCTCACCCTGGCTTCTGGCCTCCCTGCTAGGATGTGCTCATGGCTGAAAGACCTGGGATCTGGAAGTCCATGCAAGTCCCGAAGTTGGGGATTTAGGGAGAAATAACCCGCCCAGGGCAGCCCCTGCTCCAGTGTCAGTGCCAGGGCGGCCACAGGGAGCGCGGAGGGGCCGAGGGGCTGAGCGGCGGCTGTGCCGAGCCGGGCAGTCCGGGCCCAAGCAGGGCCTGTTCCCTGCAGAAGAGAAACGTGCACTGGCATGGGGTGGCAAGGGCCGTGCATGCAGCCTGCAGCGTTCCCCTTGTGCAGCGATGGGTCCCTTGGCACATGGGGTGCTGCCCCTTGGTGACTCCCTGCCCCGCAGCCCGTGGGAACAGCGCCYGGCCGCCTGTGCACAGGGAAGCCCCTGGGCAGCGCAGGGAGCCCTCCGGGGCCCGGCCGGCAGGAGCCGGAGCATCCTCAAGGATGAGGGTCTGATCCCACCCTCCGCGGTTCCTCCGGGGCCGGGGGGCCGCTGCCCCAGCGCCTGGCGGCTCCCAGCCCTGGCACGCGCTGCAGGAGAGCCCTGGCTCGCTGCCCGAGCGCTGATGGTAACAGGGCACGGATATTCCCGGCAGCGGCGCGCGGCGAGGGGCGCAGGCGCAGAGATGCTGCACGGTGCTCAGGAGCGCCCAGAGCAGGGGACAAAGGGGGCCCCGGGGAAGGCGCCTTCCCGCTGTGCCTCAGCCACGCTGCACATCACTAGGGCCCAGASTGAACGGCCTAGTTGGGCAGAGGCTGCATGGAGAGCTGGGGGAGCCTGGCCCGTAGGGTGTCAGCGCTGCGGCAGGGTGGCCCTGGGGTCCCTCTCGCTGTCCCGGTCCCCSTGGGGCCGCGGTGGCCTGGCCAGCGCTCGCCTCGGCGGCTCTGCCCGCTCGCGCCCCAGTGGCCCTTACATAAACCCGGCACCGACCCGCTTGTGTAAGCGCCGCTTATATAAGGCCCGCGAAGCCCCGCGCGCTCCGGGTAAATCCCGGCTCAATGTGGCGGCACTGGTGGAGCCGCTGCGCCAGGATCCCTCTGGCATCCCCTCCGTCCCCAGCCCCTGCTCTGGCCCACGCCTGGCGGTAGGAGGTCTGGCCGCGGGTGAGATGAGCGTGYTGGGTCTCTGCCCAACCCGCTGGGACCTGGGCGGGCACGGGCAGTGCAGGGCGGCAGCGTCTGCGCCCGGTGGCCCAGGGATGCGACTGGGGTTGTGCTCGGGGCTCGGCTGCCTCCAGAACCAGTTCTCCCGGTGTCTGTCCCTCCACATCCCTGTCCAGGGGAGCATTTCCCACCCCCAGGTGCTGCTGGGCCGCGGGGCAGGCAGTGGGCGCAAGATGTGCCAGGGCACTGCTTGGGGGAAGCGCCCAACACCCAGCTCTGCACGTGTCCGTGGTGCGGAGGGGACAGCGAGGGACATGCCGCTTGCTCCGATGGGCCCCCGTGTGTTGGCACGGYGCGGGACCACTGGCAGTCCGGAGGCAGGGCAGAGGCGATCGCAGCCCCAGGATGCGGCACCGTGTGGGGTTGATTGCAGCCCCAGAATGTGGCACTGTGCGGGGCCGCTCACAGCCCCGGGACGTGGCACCGTGCGGGGCCGGTCGCAGCCTAGAGGCAGGGGCAGGGGTAGCGCAGGGCCGGTCACAGCCCCGGGACGCGGCACCGTGCAGGACGCAGCCGTGGCACTGCGTAGGGTGGATCGCAGCCCCGGGATGCGGCACCGTGCGGGGCCGCTCACAGCCCCAGGACGCGGCACCGTGCAGGGTTGATCGCAGCCCCGGGACGCGGCACCGTGCAGGGTTGATCGCAGCCCC